ATAAATAAGGACTTGGGGATTGTCATGCGAGGATGGGCGGTGAAAAAGGACGTGCCATAAAAATGGCAATGTAAAATCTCTATATTTATTCTTCAAGGGAACAATTCCATGAATTCCCCCATCAATTGGTTGCGATATGAATTCTCCGGGGGGCTTTTATGCAATTTCTGAGACACAAAATACGCTCTTTCTCTCTTTCTGTGTATATTGTTTATGCCATCGTGAGTTTCCCGCCAAAGAAAATATTTACCTCGCACTTCAGCTCATCTTTCTGGCCCACATTCACACCACGTGGCACAAGATTATAATCCTCTCAGTTCGCTGGCATTGACCAGAAATTGAGGCGAAGTGTGAAATTTGTCTGTGGATTTATTAATATTGCTCGAAAATTGGAGAATGTCAATAAACTATCAAAGAGATCTATCAATCACCATTCCGGGGCCCTTCCAAAATAACTCGCCCGGAGGATCTATTTTGGATGACATGCTAACCCATTAATCTCCCACGTAACGAACTGTCATTTGCCCAAAAAGCCGCCTTCGCCGCTTTGGCCGAAAGGCGCAATTCGGCAGGAATTTCAGGAAGTGCTCAAATATTTATATTATTTCAGCGGTATTATTAGAATTCTCTTTGATTTTAACTCTGTATAAAAAAATAATTCTAATGTTTTTGAAGGTTTTTTGGCTAGTTCAAGACCGATTTACCATCCCAGTGATGATTTTCCAATTAGGACACTTATGATATTTTAGATCAACTTTCTATTTGAAGCCAAAAATTCGATATTTCTTTCAATTTTCAAGACATTTACCTTAAAACATGACATGATTAGAATTTTATTATCTTTCAAATGACGTTAAAATCATCGCGATATCTCAATTCGGGGCCGAGATATGACAAAATGCAGAAGGATATGCGCAAAAGGACAGCGAAAATTGAATTAATACACTAAATCCATGTTATAACCATAAAACTGACTGGGAGAATCACAGTAAATCATGAGTTTGAAATATCTAGAAGATATTTACATCGTAAATGCGCCTGGATTTTGACTTGTTAACTTGCTTTTTGTATGTTTTTGAGGTTAGCAAAGCTTCAAAAGATTCCAGACTTTTGTACGGAGTATTAAAAGATGTCTTAATAATATAAGAAGAATTATTAATGAATTAACGGCACAAAAGATAACTAAAAAATGCGATTTCGAGCAGGTTTTTTTCTAAAGAAATTTTAGAGCACAGTACAAACAGCCACATTTTCTCCCCCTTGACATCTCAATCGCAATTGTCCACGTCGCCCAGAAGTCAGCGCTTGCGGTTCATGAAAAGTTGTCCCGGAATTACTTTTCCAACCACGCAAAAGGGATTTTTCCTTTATTAAACCCCTGCCTTTGTGTCCTGGTGAAATGAAGCGAAATTCGCGTGGGCGTCTTGTGGCTTAGACGCAAAATGCTTTACGACTGCGTTCTTCCCGAATGTATATTTTCATGCTGAAGGACAACGGATTATTGGCTATAATGCAGAGGAGATGAAAATTGCACTGCTTGCGAAGGTGAAATTTCTCAGCAGCTCAGGAAAAGATGACAACCGTAAATTCAACAATCACTCTTCTATATATTCAAATTGAGAAGCTTTACGCCCAGAAAAGGTCATAAGTTTCACAATCATTTTTCTCGGTCGTTCTCAGTGGCAAAAAAATGCAGAAAACATATATTTTCATGAACCAAACCTACTCGGGAATTTGGTGTGTGTTGTTGTGGCCCAACCAAAAGGCACACAATAAATTTCTCTAAAGGTTAAATGAGAATTTGTTGAGGGACGTTTTATCAAATTTTCGGTGGTTAAGCGTATTTCGGGCTTTTGTAAATAGATATTCCATTGAATTTAAATACAGGCAAATTTGATAATGTTGCTCCGGCAATGAGGAATTTCGCTGGAATTTGACTGTCACGCACTTTATATATAGTCTCTATAAACAAAATGGGTAATTTACTTTTCCAATATGATTTTCGGTCCGTGTATATCGCAAATAACATTTAAATTTCAACAGACTCTCATTACTCGACGGTCCAAATGAATTCCAGGTCAATTTGGACGCACTAAATTGCATTAGAAATATTTGAAATTGAATATTTAGTCATGTTTGGATTGAAAATTTTAATAATTCCTCTCAAAGAGTATTAAAACAGAAATTTATCTGTGCAAAATTACATAGAAAATGAGCTTATCAACCTCTGTATAATGATTTCGTGGAAATTTTTCCAACATTAATTGCTGATCGAGTTTCTCCTGCTCATTCTGTGAAATTCTATTATATGACTCTCTCCTGCTCTCGAGTGTACGTGAACTAAATACCTTCAGAGATAATAAAGTTTAATAGGTGTTCTCTTCCATCTTGAATAGTAATTCAATGCTCAGGGTGGATATTTAAATTTCTCGGAAGAAAATACAGCCGTTAATGAGGCGACTGTGGCTTTGGATGCAATATTTCTCAATTATTCCTGAATAGACGCCGCTTGACCCACTTTCAGCATCATTTTCACTTCTTATTCACCCAGCGTTTCACGCATTTTCCCCAACACTTGCCCGTCTAATTCACCCCAAAGGTGTGACAAACTCACGTTCGCCAAACGCCCCTCATTTCCACGGAATTGAGACACTCGCGTGGCAAACATTTCCCGCTCTGGAGGCTTTTATGGTCCTGTCAGGAAAGGGGAAAACTATCGCCTATTCTACGCCGACGTCCTTCTCACGAGGACTCCCTCGCGATTGTGTAAGTGGAGAAAAATCTGAAGATATTCAAGGGAAAGTGAGATGAAATGAAGCGCGTTGGTGAATTTTCAGGCGCAGCAAAGGAATTATTCCTTCTTTTTAGATCATTTTTCTACAAAAATTTGCCAAAATTCAAATTTATTACTAAAATCTTTGTCCTGAGATTTGTATTTTATGAAGCAAAAGTAAGAAATTCTATTAAATATCTAAAAATATTGTGATTTTATTTGAAAATTGATTATCATTGTGTTGTTTTTTGGTTACACGACAGATTCTTCGTAAAATTTCCTCAAGATATTTGATGATAAGATAAGGATAGAATTTATAGAATGATTCAAATGAGGAGAAAAAGGCATTTTTTGATGTACTGCCAAATTTCTTGCAGTGTCTGTAATCCTCCTCAGGAATTAAACGTTTCGGTCGTTTTATCTCCCCCTTGGAAAGGAATCTCACCCATGAAAATGGTTGGGTTACAAAGAGATGAGCTTTCGGTTCGCAGGAATTCAATTTGAAGGGCTTATTAGTAACATTTAGTAAATATGTAACTTAAATGATCTCCAAAATCACGAACATTTCCTCCTCATTTCCGCATCTATTCAGGCTGAATGCTGAAGAGATGTTTAGTTGAGAAATTCTCCTAATTTACAAGTCTTTGCGAGACTTAATTTCCAGCAATTCTCCTCCTCTCGGGGATTCGAGCGCTGTCTTTTTGGGAAACGCTCCGGGCTTGAGGTTTTCGGGCGCAGGAAGAGGCTAAATAAAAAGCAGGGGAAGACAAGAGCTGGATACACTTTATTCTGTGTTGTTGGGTGCGGAAAAGGCGGCACAATTACATCCGAAATATATTGTAAACCGCTCCGTATTTCCCCACAACACAGCATTATATACATATGAATAAATATTTGTACGGTAGAGTAACACATTTTATTTATTATTCGACGCGCTTCTCACACTCAGTGGGTGGATGAGTGGCTGGTGAGAGACTACAAAGGAGACCGAGAGCGCGGCTCTTCTCCAGTTTCTTTATTTCGCCCAGAAGAAGAAGAGTATCATCTCTATGTGTTTCCCGCACATTTAAATTCTGCCAATAAATTTTCCTCGAGTTGTGCGCCTCTTTCACCCTATTATTTTTCATATCTCTCAAGCACACACACTCTTTTCTTCCTCATTTTCCATGAGAGGCCACAAGTTTATTTTCCAACGCGGCTCTCAAAATTCCACGCAAAAGATAAATAATTTAATAAAATGATGCCATTTGGGAGTGAAATAAACGGGCGTGAAAGTTTAATTGATTCAGCCCACATTTTGATCTCCACTTCTTTTTCTTCTTCATGGTGCGTGATCGAAAGGCGAGGGACATTGAATTGAAGGGAAAAAAAGAAATCATCCCGCATTTGATGGGCATTTCAGTGATTGGTGAAAAGGGGGACGAAATTGTTACAATTCACTCGCCCACGAGATTTTGCTTCTTGTGAAAAATGTCACATAAAATTTCTTAGTCCCTCCTTTTCTCTCAATTGAACTGTTTTTTTCTTTTCTCCTTCGGGGTGGAATCATTAAAAGGCCTCCCGGGTAAAAAAGCACCCCATCCTAATTTACTCTCTCTCCATCTTCATCTCTTATAATTGGCAAGCAGTGTTTGCCAAAGAGGAACAAGTGGAAAATTTATTTATAGACTTTCCCCATCAGACACACTCTCTCTCTCTCTGTCTTGCACCCTTGCAATATAGTGAAGAAAATCCTGAGCAAGTGGTAAGTTTTCCTCAATAGCAGTGAAAATATCACACAACCTCCCATGAGACAATGTGAGCGGGAAAGAAACTTTGGGGAATTTATTACATTTTCTCAGAGACATTCTCATAATCAAAAGAGACGTGTCTCTCCGGCTTGAGAGTGTGTGAGGAAAAGTTTCCATATTTTGCAGGCTCGCCCATATTATTGGCTGAATGATGACAATGGGAGACTTTCATAAATTGTCCAACTCGGGAAAGTTCATTGAGTTCCTCGGGAGAAGCTCTCTCTCTCTCGGTCAATAAATCACTGGGCAAAACGAGAGGTTTGTGGAATTAAAATGGAGGCGCCTGGTAAAAGCTCCTCACAAATCTTCAAACTTTACGAACTACGAACGCACAAGTCTATGACGCGCTCTACAAATTATACTCAATCAATCATAGGAAGCTGAAGAAGTGGATTCACATTCATTGTGAAATTGTTCGCGTGCTCAGCAAATCGAAGATGTTTCTTCTCAATCGCCTTCGCCGGGCTTCCCGAGGGATTTCCAGGCCATCAATGCGCCTCTTCGCCTCGTTCCCGAGTCAAGCGGACGCCCCCATGCCCAGTGGAGCCACAAAGGGAATCGTTGTGGGCATTTATGAGCATCCGGAGAAGGACTACGTGTTCACAGAGTGCGGCGAGGAAGTGGACGGGAAGCTGAGGGGGCGGCTGAAGAACGAGATCGAGCGCTGCGGCCTCAAGGGCAAGAGTGGCGAGGTGAAGGTGCTCAACGGACTCTCCGGAGATTTCTACTCCGTGGCCATTGTCGGACTAGGAACCAAGGAAGTGGGCTTCAGCGTGCCGGAGTCCCTCGATATGGGACTGGAGAATGTGAGAGTGGCCGCGGCGCTGGGAGCGCTCAAGTTGCGGGACGATTGCGTGGCGGAGATCAGTCTGGATCCGATGGGACATCCCGAGGAGGTGGCCGAGGGTGCCACGCTGGCGCTCTGGGAGTATCAGGACAACCGTCGCGTGGAGGATCGCCAGCGCGCAGTGGCGCTCGAGTGCTACAATTGTCTGGACGAGGACGCGTGGACGAGGGGTCTATTCAAGGCGGAGGCGCAGAATCTGGCCAGGAAGCTGGCCGAAGCGCCCGCCAACCAATTGACGCCCACAATCTTCGCTCAAGTCGCCACGGACAGTCTCTGTCCATGCGGAGTGACTTTGGATGTGCGCGGCGCCGACTGGATCGCCGCTCAGCGCATGACGGCGTTCATGGCGGTGGCCAGGAGCTCTTGCGAGCCACCGGCCCTGCTCGAGGTGAACTATGCCGGGAGTGAGCCCGGAGAGCGTCCCATTGTGCTCGTCGGCAGCGGAATCACCTTCAACAGCGGCGGTCTGTGTCTGAAGTCCCTGCCCGAGATGGAATACGAGAGGGCGACCATGAGCGGCGCCGCTGTAGTCATGGCGGCCGTGCGAGCAGCCGCCGCCCTGTCTCTGCCCATCAACATCCGCGCCCTGATCCCACTCTGCGAGAACATGCCATCGGGAATGTCCTTCAAGGTAGGCGACGTCTTTCGCTGCTCCAACGGAAAGTCCGTGGCCGTTCACGACACCGGAAATGCCGAGACTCTCATCATGGCGGACGCCTTCGCCTACGCCATGCAGATCTACAAGCCCAGGCTGGTGATGGATCTGGCCACGATGACGCGCAAGGGCAATCTGCTGGGCAGCACGGCGTCTAGCGTCTTCACCAACTCGGACGCCATGTGGAAGGAGCTGCAGAAGGCGGGCGCCATCACGGGCGATCGCGTGTGGCGCTTCCCTTTGTGGAAGACCTACACGCGCCAGATCAGCAACTTCACCAACTACGACTTGAGCAACCGCGGCGACGGTCAAGCCTACACTTGTCGCAAAGCGGCCTTCCTCAAGGTGAGACATCCCACACTGAAATTTGTTTACCATCTTCTCTCTAAGGTCAAGGCATTTTCCGTAGAATTATGGCTGGAATTGTCGCGTGATAAATCAAATTTCTGCTGCTTTGTGGGCTTCCAAAATGTGTTTGATTTCTTGGAATTGCTTTGAATTTCCTTGGTTAACCTCTGCATATTAACTCTTGACCTTCACATCATCAGAATGCAGAGACACAGAAGGGCTTTTGAGACATTTACCTCAAAGGCACTTGTTGATCTGAAACGCATTCCAAGGAGGAGATAGTCAATTGATATTTCATTGGGAATTTCACTTAACAGAATCATTCCATGTTTACAGTTTGTTTTATATGTTTGATAGCATAAAAGTAAGAGACTACTTTGCTAGATTTTACTAATTTTCTTCTTTTGAAGCTCCAAAGTAAAACATCTTAATTCACTAATCTTCCTTCCAGGAATTCATCGGTGATTCTGAGTGGATTCACATGGACATTGGTGAGGCTGGCTTGGTGTCTCCGCACAACTTCGTCCCTTACTATCGTCAAGGCAAAATGACTGGTCGTCCAACACGTGCGCTCATACAATTCCTCTATCAACTTGCGTGTCCCGAACAAATCACGGATTTGAGAGAAATGTAACTTTCTCAGTTGAGCCCGATTTTCAAGGCATACTTTCCAGGACAATTGAGACACGTCTCGCCAATAATGCTGTAAATTATTCAGTGTCCCTCTTTCACATATACATGGGGGTGAAAATAGAGAGGGAGAGAGAGTAAGTTTTCTTTTTTTCCTCAAGTGGCATACAATATCGCACTGCATTAGTTATGGGGAACACGTGTGTGCGTCGACAAGAGAGCGAGAGAGAGAGAGAGAGAGATTGAGTGTGTGGAAAAATAATGGGGATATTGATAACATACACAGGACATATTTTCAGGTGGAAAATGCTCCATGTCTGGAAGAGCCTTGAGGCGCAGCAGAAACATTGTGGGGAAATTTGAAATATTCTTCAAGGGAGTGTCTTTATTAAAGAAAATGTATGTGTGTATGTGTGTGCGTGTTGTATGTGGCTTAACAATCTCAACTATTCGCCCATCCAAGTTTGTACCTTAGCCTAAACTAGTCGTTTTCCTTTGTTCCACATAACACAACGCCAGCGAAAAGGTACAAAACTTGACTAACGAGGGACGAATGAAGCACATGAGGAAGATTTTTCAAGCAAAAATTACATCTTCTTTCACATGTTGTTCACTTTCTTGAAAAAAGAAAAGAAAAGAAATGCGAGAAAATTGAGTTCAATTCGAGAGACGTGATTGTTTTCCCAACAGGTCACCTTTTGCTCCCTTTTCCTTGTCATCTTCAGAATGAAGAGCGGATTGCTCATACTTTGAGAGGAGGTTTAACTCGCAATTTTTCATCCATATCCTTTTTTCTCAGAAAGTCACTCGATGTTATCCGCCTTCTGTATCATATTTCTATTGATGTGTAACATTATTTTGCCCAAAGAGAGACACAGAAAAACAAAGACGTCCTTTGACGAATTGATGCGTAATCTGAGACATTCACTTCCTAAAGTGCCCACCCATTGTGTGAGCTGAAAGAAGATGGGGGGAACAAAGAGAGACAACAACGAAGCATTGATGAATAATGTATCTGAGTGATCGCTTTGATAGTTATGGAGAAAATTAAAATTAAAATCACTAAACAAGTGAGTAATGTGCGCGAGGGAAGGTAAAATGTATCCACAAATTCATCAATGATAGGCATGAAGTTGAGTTGTTGTGTGTCTGCAAAGAGAATAAGAAGAAAAAAATGTGCAAAAGAACAGCCGCGACTTGACGAGCAAATTGAATGCAAACTGTTGATCAAGGGGAGAACGTGGGCAAAATTAAATTCACTCCACCAGCGTCACAAGCACTGGTGAGCAATGAGAGTCGTAAACACGCAAATGAGCAGCGCTTCTTCCTGTCATTAGAATAATACTTTCCATACACATTCATCCCATCCCCCATAGAGACCAATTCATTAAGAGGAAAACTGCAGTGGAAAATGTCAAAGAAGGAGTCAGAGAAGAAAAATGTCGCTATTCATCCACGTCACAGAGCCTTTTCACGAGAGAGTCTCTCCTTGTGGGTTGTGCTGCCAATAGAAATGTCTCCTCTGCAATTTCAGATCATCGACTTTGAAGATGACTAAGCAGAATTTCCTCCCACGAGCGCAAATGACTGGATGACTAAATATTTGAATTTTGCTGCAATTTCACATTCTAGCTTTGAGCAAACATCCTACAAAACTTCGCTCTCACACCATCAATATTTAACGAGGACATCTCGCTCTCTCTCGCTTCTCCATCCCTGAAAGGATAATAATTTCTCTACAAGTTTTCTTTTAGCCCCCCAAAGTCCTTGGCAGAACGCCTCTTATGTGGAATGACAATTAGTGCGAGTGCGAAGAAAGTTAATGGCGTTGGATTATGGGAGACGTAAATTCTGGGCGGGCGAAGAAAACGCATTTGGAATAACTTTCGTGTGTGTGCGTTGGTGGTGGTTAAGGGCTAAATTTTTCCCACTGACCGACAGGGTGGAAAATTCTCTCGATAAGCCGATCAACTGTCCGCCGAGAGTGCGAAGCTTGAATGCTGCATGAGCTTTTTTGCACAGAACACATAATCTATATATGGAAAGGGTTTATTAGAGAGACAATGAATAATATTTGATCCGGATTATCTCGCACAGAGTCCTTCTGAATGCAATACAATGTCCCTGAGTGGGGGGTGGGGAAAGATGTGGAAAAGTTGAGAGAATGAAGCATAAGTTTGTGTCACAAAATACTTAATTTCTCATGAGCCAACACGAACGTTGTTACAGAGAAGAAGTGCAATAATAATGACATTCTTGGTAGATCATAATTGATGTCAAAAATTCTTGGAAAACGTGGAAAAATACCAGGAAAACAACGCCAAACATAGAATACTAATAAAAAAAATGTGATTCACACTTAACAAATTAAAGTTTTTTACTGAGAAGCTAATGAGTCGTTGCAACTTTAATTTCATTACATTTTAAATAAGCTGTCAAAAGCATGAATTTGTAAAAACGAAAGTGGGAAATTTATGTTCTGGGAAGACAAGAAAAGCCGGAAAATTTACGTGAAAATCAAGATAATTGATAATATTGACATTTTCAGGTTGATTAGCACAAATTAATCGGATTTTCGCGTCATTTGTGCACTTTTCAATGCACCAAATGTCGTGACATGCACGAAAATGCGGCTGTGCTGAAATGTCACAGCGGAAACATCTTCCCGGACATCTTAACCGGTAGAATCATTGAAGAATCCCGTCTTAAACACACTCAATGTCAGAGACAGTCACGAAAAAAATGTATTGTCATTCTTCGCATTTAACAGCTGAAATTCGTATTAAATAAACTCCCAACGTCGCCTCGCAACGCCTTTCGTTCATATTTCATTCTCAGTTTACACTAGCGCCACCAGGCAGCCTCTAATAAAAGCTATGAAAATCGTAAAGTTGCAGCAACAAATTGGTAGCTTTTATGAACTGATGATTGAAATCCGTAATGTTGCAAAGACCCATAAGTTTATCGCTTTTATGTTGAACAAATTTAGAATTAATAATGAATATTTACAGAGCATATTTCGTGTTTAATAGAAATCAAATTACATTCGCGAATTTGTCGCTCTAGTGGAAAAAGCCGATTCGAAAGCATAATGATTAAACCTCCACTGAGACTGAGTCCTTCGTGCGCTTTGCGAAACGCACACCGCCCGTGATTGTCGTCCTCCGCGAACGACGCACTTCGCCGCGGCGGCGGCGGCGGTGATGGGCGTGTGGGTGGGACACGGAAAGGGGCGCAAGGATGCTCACCAGCAAGTGCAGTCGCGGCTTAATATCCGAGGCCTCCTATTTTCACACCATCCACTGGGGCTACAGATGCTGGGGCCTCTGGAAAGACGACGGCACTTCGCGGAGAAGCACGGCACTTTTATTCAATTTGCACAGATCATGGGCGTCAGAGATAAGTCGCTGGGCTTCTCTCGGATGCTCGTTTTCACACGCACTGCCCGCTTTCCCTCGGCACACACTTCTCGCACTGGGCTGCGGGGAGGAAAACAACACACTTTCCTTCAGGCTTGGGTGGGTTTTCTTATCAGCCACGCACTACATTTTCCACCGCACGTTCTCTCTCTCTTTCGCACACACTGGCGGGCGCGTCTTACTGGGGCTCCGCGGGCGTCTTGGGGGCTCTGGCGCTTCTGGACGGAGACAGGCTTGAGTGGCAGGACGTCAGGGGGCGGAGTGGGATTGCGTCCGGCGACAGGGGCGACTCCCAGCAGCGTCGCTCTGCTGGCCAGACGCTCGTCGCCGGGCGCTTCTGGCGCGCGGAAAACTACCGGAGGCGCCGCGATGGGGCGCCTGGCAAGGGCGGGGGCGCAGGGGGCGAGAGAGAGAGAGAGAAGGCTGGGTGAAACGGGGCCACTGACGGATTTACCCTGGGATCGAGACCGCGGACGCGTCTGAGGCGAGACACTCGAACCAACTGGCTGGCCCTGGAGAAAAAGACCCGCGTTGAGGCATTTTCCTTGGCTTCGGCGGGCGCCGACGATTGACGCAAGTGTGGCGATGGGGGCGCCGAGTTGGGGCGACGTCTGTCAGTTCCTGGCCTCGTTATCCACTCGGAAGTGGATGAGAGACGCACGCGCACTTCCTGCACACGCATACACCGACGCGCCACGCCATCCAACCAGTCCAAGTCCACGAGCTCCACAAATTTGCAATTTATTGATTGATTCTCCCCATTTTCGCTCCTCACAAACACACACACACACACGTGTGTCCTTTCCACCCTCCTGCGCGCATCCCAGATGACTCAGAGATGCATCAGCGAAATATGCCGTCATTGATCATCCCGAAGATGGGCTGCATCTCACTCCGCCTCGACAGGAGTTCGGCGGCGAGGAGGAAAGGCGATGGATGGACTTTATTCACGCAATTATTCATCTGCTCGACGAAGGAATGGGGCAATTACCCAAAAACACCCACGGGAGTTGAGCTCTCGGGCCAATCTCCACAGCAGACGACTGCAGAGGGATTCCTTGGCTCGGCCGATGATGTAAAGCCGGGCGATGATGAGCAACAATAGAGCAGCAGAGATTATGTAACGCTCGGGTCGTTGGGAAAGCTCGTGACGCAAAAACCATCTCGACGCGCCTCTTTAAAGCTCTCCGCGGAGCGCTGGAGTGAGAAGGACACTCTTGGGCGCTTCCTCTCATGTCAATTGCGTGTCTCTTTGCCATGCGAACAGAGTAGCCGAGGGTCCATTTAATCCCAAGACAGAGATTCCTCGCTCTTGCCCACGACAGGACAATGGAAATTTGATATTTCGTCCTCTTCAGCCTGTCGGGCGCGCGCTCAGCAAACATGTCCGATTCCCATTTGACCATCATTTCACCCTCCCTTCCTCCGACTCACAATTCCTGCCACACATTCTTCACAGACGCTCGACAGAAGTGGAGGAAATTGTTCATGAGATTCTTTAACCCATTAACACACATAGAATTTCAGACGAAACATGAAGAATTCACCTTTGAAGCGAGTAAATTAAACTGAACAGGAAAAGACCGTAGAAACTTCTGTTAAATTCTCCATTTCACCCGAATCATTTCTATTGAATTTGGGAGGAGAAATAAAAGAATAATTGCACATCTTCATCCCTTTTTCCTCGAATGCTCTTCGCGCAGTACTTTCAGTTGCGATGTTTTCTCTGAGAAAAATGATGTTGTTTCACCGACAAAAGGAGGATTTAGGAATAAAAGACTGACAGTTCAATTGAATATTTTGATTGAAAACTTTTATCTCATTCTTTTAAATATATTTTCTTTCTTAATACCTTTTCACTTCTGAGTGTATTATATATAATATATATATGTTTAGTAAGAATAATTAAATACCGAAAATCCACAACTTTAGTTATAAGTGTTTATACATAATTTCCCGAAAAGTTGTCACACTTTTTTTTCTCCCATTTAGTTTTATAAGAATTTAATATGTTATCTTCGAATGAAACATCGCAATAACAAAAAAAAATCAATATATATTCAAAAATGCTTAAATAGAGTTGGAAAAATTAATTAGATTTACAGACTATTATATTGTTTTTCTTCTCTCTTTTTTTTTGCTTTTAGCAACATTCAATTGAGAACGATTTTTTGTTGAAAAGATATTCAGATTTTTTTTTCTTTAAATATTTGACACTATGAATTTTTATATATCTAGGAAATTGTCTTCACCATCAAATTTAATTGTTGTTTATTACAAAAATACTTGATTTCTATACTCATTTTACCATAAAGAGACATTCACAATAATAATACGACTGAGAAATTCATAATTGCATCATCAGTTGAAGTGTTTTTTTTTGTGATGAAGAGAAAATGTTTTACTTACGCGCGCGCGCGAATCTCGCGAAATGCCAGTGAGAATCTTGAGCAAATTAGGCTCGAAGGAAGTAGTTTTGATGGGGAGGGGAGGAAAAATGCTGATCTGACCGGTGGAAAAGTGTTAAAATTTGTCACATAAATGGATGAGGAGATTTCCTAGAGTTGCCAGGATTTGTCAGCACAGCCCCGTTGATGTCCAGATTGTGATTCCAGGGCTCTGGAGTTCGGTCGCACCACTGAAGAAGCTCAATAACTTCACCCTGTTCAAAGCGGAAGCGCCAGTAAAATAAACATTGGCTCACAACCTTTCCTAAGAAGCTGAGAAGCTCACCTGAAGTGTTTCCGGCAGCTCGGCGAAGATGTCCTGGTGCGTCACGTGAGAGTGTCTTGAGATGAATGACAAGCAGTTCGCCTTGAGGATGGCCGTGTTGAAGCGATCGGCGATGCTGAGGAGCAGAATCACGGACTCCTCGTCGATCTGTGACCTAAGCGTGTGCTCGCAGATGTCCTTCAGCTCGTCAATGGAGTAGCGATCGGCCAGGAGCATCAGCTCGCACAGCTGCTCAGCGCCCACCGTCTTGTCAATTGGAGCACCGTACAAGTATAAAAGCAATCGGCGAAATATCACAGGTGATGTATCATGAATAGTAATTTTTCTGCAAAAGAGCCGAAGGAAATTAATAAATAGAGGAGGAAAAAAGGATGAATTAATTCAGGAACGCGCGCGTCGGTGGAAATTTAATTTCCAACCACTCAGCATCTCCATAATATCAATCGCACGACTCCTCAAGTGGCGGACACGCCGTGAATTCAGGGTCGCGCGCTTCAAGAGGGCCATCAATGAATTTTATACATGCTACAAACCGATGAATATCCTCTTTCATGCCGGAGAGAAGAGCCTTTCGCAGCCACTCGCAGCGCGCCGCCACGATGACGCGGTGCGCCTTGAAGACGTGCACTGTGGTCTTGGCCAGGCGATCCTTGGCGTGCTGCACGCCTCCCGAAGGCACAATCACCTCGAAGTTCATGTCGGACAGCTGGCCGGAGTGCAGGAGGCGCAGGGCGCTCTTGGACAGGCCGCTGTTGACGATAGGCGGCGGATGGCAGATGTGCCTCGTGAGGTTGAGCTTGATGCTACTGTAGTCCACCTGGTGGCCCCTCTCGAAGCCCCCGCCGTCCGTTCGCACGCTGACATCCTCACCAATGAGCTGCAGCTCCACCACAGCCTGGCGGAACTCTTCCCGGCCGACCAGCTCGCAAATCTGCCGAGAGAGAAGAGCACGTAATGAGGAATTGAGTGAGAATCCTTGGCAAAGCGCCAAGCAAGACAACTCACTCGAATAATTGGAGTCTTTAAGGCCGCTTTGTGCTCCAACAGCTTCGAGATGACTCCATTCTGCACAATTCGTCCGCAAAAAACAGAGGCGATGCATTAGATTTGGAAACATCACACTTGAGTGTCATAAACTCACCACTTGACCTGTTGCCAGCTTGAAGCAAAACTTGAACTCCTTCCAACCAATATTGCCATCAAGATTGTCTGAGAGTTTCTCAATTCTCGCAATGTACGACGGAAGCTCCAGTATTAATTGATCTAAATTGCGTCGAATTGTGCGCTCCTTCTCGTCCGTGGCCATCTCTATGAAGGTGTTCCTAACAAATCCCTCAAAAATGAGTCTAGCGCACGTGGCGAAGGTGCAAAATCTCTCACCTGTTCTGCTGCACAATCTCCATTGCCGACTGCACGCGACCGTAGATGTCTCGCATCTTCCGCAGTTCATACATGTACAGGACAAAGGTCAGGTCATTCTCAGAGCCAGAGTACTTGTTGTGAAATGTTCCTCCGTGTCCCTGACAGCCGATCTCCATCTGCTCAGCGTTGCGATTCTGCTCCTGATGTCGCACCGAATCTCTCGCTTGCGGCGCAGACTGAACAGACTTCAAGTCCTGCAGAAGACAAGGCATTCTCTCAGCCACAAGACTCACACAACTTCTCCAGTCAACTCACCTGATACATCTTCTCCAGCGACGTCTTGATGTCCCCAATGAGATTGGCCATTCTGTCGAAGGTGATCTCAATGTGTGGCACCAGAAATGTCGCCAGATCGCTCTTCTTCTCCGGCGACAGTCGCGACAGCACTTCGTAGATGTTCTTCAGCAGCTGGTGGATTTGTGAGGCCAGAATTGGCATTCGTGATCGTGCAAACTTGATGATCTCATGCCTCTGCTGGCGCGAAATGTTGGACGCCTCCTTCACGAAGATGTTGCAGAACTGAAGGATTCGCGCACAGCCAATGGCAGTCTCCTTCACGCTGTGCTTGAATACCGAACACAGCACTTCAGGGTGGCGCGAGAGGGTGTGAGGATTGATGGACTGAATGATTCTGTTCAGCGATGTGTGTATGTCCATTGTCACGTCCACAATGAATCTCTTGAGCTTCACATTCCGTCCGTACTTCCGGCACGCGTCGATCATCTTGCTGAGCGGCGCCGTGACCTCGGCGAACTTCATCAGCCTCTCGCACACGTCCTCCTTGAGCCCGGTGGGCAGACTCTCGGAGTAGAGCCAGTGGAAGATGGGCACGAGCATGGTGTGCGGCAGATTGTACAGCACTGAGATGGGCGTGAGTGGCGACGTGGGCGGCGTGTCCAGGCAGGAGGGCGAGAAGGGTGAGGCGCAGCGGAGTCGCGGCGAGGGACAGGTCGCTTTCCTGTTCACCGGCGACTCCGTGGGCGTGAGCGGGAAGGCGCCGGAGAAGGTGAAGATCTCCTTGGGACTGGCCAGGCGCAAGTCGGAGTCGGAAGAGGAGGTCTGGTTGTGCAGCGCCAGCAGAGATTCCCGTGGTGAAGTCACGGTGAGACAGTTGAAGGAGCCCGACATGGATTTCGTGGTGAGGATGTTGGATGGCGGCAGGAGATAGTGACTCGTGGGCATTTTCTGGCTGGGAATTTCCTGAGGTGGCCGAATTGTGGCACTTGCGGAGTCTGTCACGGGATGCGGAGAGGCTTGATTGGGATAATTCATGCTGCAATCGAAGCCGGAGAGTCGCAGGACAGCAGAGTGAGCCTCAAACTGAAAAGACAGGGAAATGCGTCAGGCGCAAGGAAGTAATGAGGAAATTAAAAGGGAATTACATAGAGTCCTTCGGAGCTCTTGATGATCACATCGGCAAAGTAGCCCTCTTGGAGTGCGGACAGGAGGGAGAAGGGGCAGTCCTGGATGATGGTCTGATCCTCTCTCAGGCGCCGGCAGGACAGGAAGCACCATCCCTCGCAGTTCAACACCATCATGTCCATGGGCGTGAAGGTGGTCGTCTTGAACTCGATGTTGTGCCCCGCGTAGGCGCCAAACGCCAAGCCCGGCCCATTCGACAGCAATTCCACCACCTCGAAGGTCTCGCAGCTGAAGAGGATCTCCGTGAACTCACTGCGAATGGCGAGGAACTCCGTGTCGCGCTCCTCGGGCGCCTGATTGTCATGAACCACATCGCTGTACCACGTAATGTCACCCATTTCGTCCAGCCTAAATTTCACCCTATCGTGGTGGTTAATTGAATTAAATTATTCAGTGCGCTCTCTTGCATCACCACGAGCATGCGACCCAAAACTCACCCTTTCAGGCCCAGCGAGTCCGTCGTCCCCGATATGGAGCACTCCATTATCTAATTGGGCGAAAGCGTGTAAAAGTTTAATACAACCGTGAGTAATGCTGTGGCCAAATATTGAGGGGGCGCCAGAAAAAGAGGGAACGCATATCAAACCTCCCAGGTGCCGAAAAATGTGTGCTCGGCAGCCATTTCAGCAGGAGGGGGTGGTGGAACACAAGACCTCCACTCGGCAGACGTTATATAAAGTCCCCTGGCGAAGGCATTATCACGTAACTTTTCACTGAAATCCTGTTAAACACTCAAACACGGAGAAAATCCTTTATCACATGATTACAAACTGCAAAATACTAAATGCACTTTAAACACACTCAAAAATTGTGAGGAGAGAAAAAAAAACCTTCAAACAAGAACATTACAGCACGACTTCTAATCAATTGTTATCACTAAAACTACATTCACATGACATTATAGAGATGATAAACTTCGCACAATTTCTTCTTTCTCCACTAATTTAATCGCGGAATGCAAGTATTTTTCACGCATGAAAAAGCACTTCTCTCAAACTTTCAACACCAGAAGCTCTCTGGCGTCAAAGGAATGCCAAAAGACGAGCAATTCTAATGGCAAAGAACAGCATTGGACTGATATCTAAGAGCAAAGGGCTTTTGCACAACCAATTCCAGCACTCTTCACTGACTAATTGAGGGATTTGCTGTGGCAGAAATGCAGGTAAAGAGATGGAAAATAAAATCACAATAGAGAAGCAGAGGTTTTCTCAACACTGCGCCGATGAGGAGCTTTTTGACACTCTGTGTGTGTTGCGTCAAAGTCTCCAGAGTGCCAGAGCTTTTGTGGGGGTAAAAAGCTCCATGGAATTCTCACCACAAATCGATTTTCTCCCCACAAACACACACACACACACACACACAGAATTTTACCCAATTGTTGCGCCCAATGACAAATGCTTCTGTTCACAACATTATTTATATATATATTTACTTTTAATGAATGAATAGAACTTTATGGCGCGACAGTGAATTAAAAAAAAGTATAACAAGAAAATTTACATTCTCAATTAATTCACTCAACTAATTGATTAACAACAAAACTATAATACACATGACGTGGGAAGCTATTTGGATTTAATATGTGTTCAGCGCTCAGTGGAATGACTCACGGTGTTTGTAGATGAACTTGCTCGGCTTCATCAACTTCTGCTTGCAGTCATCGAAGGAGAAGTTCATGAACATGGCAATGCGCTCCAGACCCAGAATGGACTTGATCCTCTTCTGCTGATCTATCACGAGCAGCCGCAGGAGCAGATCCTTCGCCTGCGGCGGAATGTCATCGGCCTCACGTGGCAAGTTGACGGCCATTTGCTCCTCCTCGGCAGCATACTCCTCCGGCGACTTCTTGCAGCACGCCTGCATATGGCACACTCCGTTCCCGGCCACCAGCGGCGCATTTCCCCTCTGGACAATTGGATACTGCAAAGAAGCACGCCAATTGGCGATTATGATTCACAACGTTGTATTTACAATGCGTGGGAATTGCGTACGAATAGCTGGAGTTCTGCGACTTGACAATGTTGCGCTAATACTTAATGATAAACTAGACTACAAAATTACAATCCTTTTGCGCTTGAGTCCTTGACAATGGTTTCTAATGGGAGCACTAAAGAAATACCAATAATTTTTGTAATTAAATCTACTTTCTGTGCATTATTTCCAAGTTAATTTTGTTCCTTCTGGTGAATTTCACTTTTTAGAGACTGGAAATGAAAGATTATTTCTGCAATAATAATATTCTGAGACACAATTGTGTTCTAAATATTGTCCGAAAGTGAAAACACAAGTGTTTTCTCAGCTCCAAGATTACGTGAGAGTTTTTCTATGCAGCAAATAAGAGTGTTTGTTTACCAAATTCACGAGGAACATTTCATGATACACGAACACATCAGTGTATTAATAAAAACAGTTTCAATTCAATCCGAGAGATTAGTAAGATGATCTCCAAGATGAGAAGTGAATTTAGAGATCTCAGATCGGCGGTTGAAGCTGAATCCGGTTAATGAGTTTAGCCGCTGTTTTGAAATCCACCCAAGAATGATTTCCTCCCATTGACGTCATTGAGTTGAACGCGAAAAAGTAAATTAAAAATAAATCGGCATTTTGAGCGCAGTGCAAAACGAGTTGCAAATCGATTAAAAATATGTGAATTTTCCTGTTTTTTTGGTCTTGCTAAACACCTTCTCGAAAAACTTCAACTTGACTGATAAAACCGGCTGATTAATGCCATAGAGAGAGATTATCAATCTGAAGAGATTCTCCTTCGATCCAGTGAACTCACAAATTGTCCCTCCTTCGCGAGAGGTCAAGAGCTTATTCAAAGTATCACTGATGCGCCTCTCTTCGGCCGACTATCATCTGCATACGACCTCAACCCCTTTTAGTCACTCTCTCGCGCGAAATTGGGAACAATGACTCTGCGCGCATTATTATTGCTCTCTTGCGAAAATAGCGAAGAACAGGTTCGTCAAATTGCATTCTCTGAAGGAGGACAAAACAGACATCCTCGGCCGTAAGTTGTTAAATCTCCTCATCCATGAGTTAATTTTCTATTCAAACAAGAAGAGGACAGTGATTAAAATTTGAGCCGAAATCGTAAAGAATGCGCAGTAAGACCTTGTGCGGATTTTATGCAAATTTTCGGGGGGGAATTTCACCGCAAAGCCATCACACACACGAAAGGTGACGCGCGGGAATTAAATATGCCAATCATGTGAAATATATATCTTCTGCGTAGCTTCCAATAAACATCATCTTGCGTCAGTTGAGTAAATTTTTCACGGATTACACGCCTTGGCAGCGCACTCATAATCAAAGGTTAATTGCACGAGTGGCCACAAGACTTCATATAATTTTAATGCCTCTGCACTGTGAGTGTGTGTTGTCAATCCCAAACCTCCGATTTTCACATTGCGGAAACAACATTGCAAAACACTTCAATTGACGATATATATTTATTTCCTAACCGCGCGCGAACATTTGCTTCTCTCAAAATAAAAACCTCAGCCGATGACATTGATTGGACAATGTCTAGGCCAGAAGAGCCAGAATATTTGAATGAAATCATGTGTTTTTTTTCTCGTTCTATTCTCGCGTGCCGTGTATGCAAATGAGAAGACACACGCGGCAAACTGGAGGAGTTTCAGCGACTGATAGTGCGCTGAATACTAAAAAAAAACAATATATATGTACATACATTAGTACGTTTTTCACCATGATGGGATTTCCGGAAATGGAAAATTACTTTTTAATGATGCATTCCGACTTACGAAACTTGTCAGCGCAATTGCACATCGCGGTGGTGACTATAAAAGAATGATGATTGACTTGAGAGTGAAAATTCAATTTGCGCTGCCAACAGCAATTTCCTCACTCTGCTCTGACAAAATCATTGTCAATCTCAAAATGAAGTATAAATTCAACGAATTTTATTGCCTTTTTTTGATAAACATCAAGATTACTAGGAAATATCACCGAAAATAAAATTAGTTTACTTTTAATTGTATTTCAGGGAATTCCCACAAGATTGAGTTGTGCGTAATCACTTCTAAAGAAGTAACATTATTCTTTGGCAACATGTTAATTATCATATTCAGATTCAGCTTTATTTAGAATCCCCCTATTTAATCTTGTTGGGATTTGATTTATAGTGTGATTTTAGGTTCATTTATGAATATCTACGTGATATCAAAGCTCTCTTTTCCATTTTCTTTTTGGAAAAGAGCCCAAAACTGACCCAGAAAAACAGTCTAAATTTGTCCACATTTGATATGTTTTTAAAGCTTTTTGTCTTTCAGAAAAATCTCACCAAATTCCATAATTTCCCCCCATTCGCCCCTAATTATCTCACACGCTTTTGATGAGGTCAGAGCATTCCTCATAATCACCATCGCATGTCGTCAGGATGGAGAAAAGGCAGAAGAATAACTTGTAAATACCAGAGAATCGCTCGTGGAACCGATGAGAGTAAAATTTATATGTTAATTCCTCACGAATTAATTTGCGTCTGCAGAAATTTCATGCCAAACATTTCCCAAAGCGTGTGTATGTCAGGTTTTCCATCTGCAGCACCTTAATTTATTCGCTGTTTTTCAATGCTAAGAATCGCGACGTGTGGCGTCTCTCTTGTCACTGTCGTGACGTGTGATGAAGCACTGCGTGGGAGAAAAAGTGTGAAAATCCCGCGGAATTCACGAGAGAAAAAAAGGGGAGGCGAGTGGAGGCGCGCGGACGGAGCGCCAGAAGGGAGGACGAGGAGAGGGTTTTGTGGCTGGAGTTCTTGGCCTTGAGAGAACTGGTAACACGTGAAGTGGGGTCATTGGCGCGCAAAGAAAAGGGAGAGATTCTCGTGCAAATCTCTTCGAATAGTCGGGCGATGGGGAAGGAAGATTGGCTCTCTCAGATGGGCAAATATAAAATACGAGTTCCCATCTCTCAGATTGGATTTAGTGGCCACTTGTGTGCTGACCACGGCCAAGAATAGGCCAGCGAGAGACAGAGAGAGAGAGAAAAAGCAGCCGCAAAGACATTGCAAATTCAAACAGGCGCGCAACAATTCCCAACAATAGGAAAGGGAATAAAGTCGATGTGAATTTTCTGCATAATTCCAACACCGCGCACAATTAATTTATATTTATTTATGCGTTTATGTTTAATTTACCTCCACGTCCATGAAGCGGTGCAGAGAGATGACTTCTGCCGCGCCACAGGATTTAACTTCGCTTACATACTTTATAACACCCAATGGAAAAGGAGAATGATTAATGGAAAAATTGTATTGCGCATTGTGTAATTTTTTGTCCAGAGAGAGAATGAGAAACAGACTTCAATTATTACACCTTTTCACCAGTTAAACCCCGCATGCAAAACCGGCTGTTCTTCCCTAAATCTTATCTCTCAACACGCTTTAAAATTGCACCGCCTTCTAATAACTCTGCAGCGCACTTTCTGCCGCAAGAAACCTTGACCATGGATGCTTTATCTCTAATTCATGCTGCAAATAAAGTGAATCAACAAATAGAACTTTCAAGATTTCAACCAAGTAGCAATTAGACCAGCAAAAAACCCGCAGAAAAATGAGGAAAATCTATCAAGTGCATTAATTTATCTTCTTCTAATCATATTTCAGTGTCACACCGCTTGTTATTAACTGCTGATACCGCGCTTTTATGAAAGGTGTATTAGTTACAAGGTTCAGGATTACCTTCCAAGACCGTGAATCATTTGTTTATTGGGAAAGTGCAGCCTGAATTCCCATTGAATTAGTCAGGCGCATTTGCACAGCAATTTGTCGCACATTTTGATAAGATTTAAATTTTCAGCAATCATAATAAACTTCGCACTGCACGCACATTAAACAAACCAACTGAATACACACTAAGTCTTAGTCAATGTGAATCAACACCTCAGAGGCCTCAAAAAGAGATGGAGATTAAATCTAGGCCAGAGGACATCATTGCTCTGGTGCGATGCGTCGAGAAGATGCGCCGTAAAATGCAATGAAGCGATTGATTTAGTGATAAATTAATACGGAGAATACGAAAATAGACACAGAGAGAGAGGATTCATCCGCACACACATCTCTGAGAAAAACTCCCCGCAGCAAAATGAGCTTATTTGTCCATAAATTGTCGCTGGTAGTTGAGGATTCACAACCAGAATTGCCGTCATGCATGCATTTTAATTACACAATTGACTTGACGCCGTTCAATGATGAATTGAGCTGGAGTTGCAATTAGAGTTACTTTGCGCTCTCAAGAGTGGCAAGGTCATCATCAGTGCCTGAACCCCTTCGTCATCCCGCATTCTCGCGGGGCTTCAGGTGATCATCGCGAAAGAGTGGATGCAAGAGACGATATTATGGCACAACATTTCTAAATTTAGAACTCGTTAGAACCGCCACGAAGACCCCATAAGGCAGAAATAAAGCCATTCCTTCGCGATGGCAAAACATCCACAATCACTCTTGTGAATGACACTTTTATGTACCACAAAGTTTTATCGCACGTCAAAGGTGGGAATCATTCACAATGTTCCTTAACTTACATCGAAAAGGAGCTTAAATAATGTTCTTGTTCTAAATTTAGAAACAGGCAAAATCAGGTTTTATTTGTTCGATTTCAACGATCTCAAGACTCATCAAGGGGGAGAAAATATGCTCATAATCTGAACAACACTTCCAGCACTTCAAATTTTAGATTGTTTCCACAAGAATTCGCAAATTATCATTGCATTAATATGCTTAATTCTGCTAATTATTAGCAATCTTATCGATTATAATGCGAAATATTTACTAAATCCATCCGTAATTCGTGACATAACCTGGAAAAAGATGGTTTTTGGAATCGGGAAGATTAGACAGTAAAAAGAACAAAAAATTCACTTCGTAACACTTCCGCTGAACTGTACAGCACTTCTGA